TCCATGAAGTCTTTACTGCCCCCAGTCTCCTGCACCTTCTTCTGGGGCTGGTTTACCAGGATCATCCTAGACGCCTCGAGCTCGGAGATCAAGAAGCCTGAAAGAATGGTATGAGTATGAAAAATATTTAAGATGTCAAAGGATCTTAATAGTACCATTGAGATACTGTAATAGATTTTATTCACATTTTGAATTATTATTATTTTTTTTATTAATATGTCTAATATGTCTATATAGTTCATATTAATTTTTATTTCAGTTTCATTTTTAGTTTTTTTAGTTAAAACTAGAAAAACTAGAAATGTTGCCTTGGTGACTACTTGAAATAAAAAAAATATATATTTTTCATATTATATTTTATTCCAGTTAACGTTTTATTTCAAGTAAAAATTTTTTTGTTTTTGTTTTAAGTTTAGTTTTAGTCAGTGTTGTTCTAGTATCATTGAGATACTATTAGGTTTTATTAATATTTTTAAATTGCTTTTATTTTTATATTTTCTGTATTTATTTTAATTTTAAGTTTTTAGGTTTTAGTATTTTTGTTGTGTAATTTTTTAGTACTTTTTCATGTCTATATAGTTTTTATTTTATTTTATTTTTTCAGTTTTAGTAATTTGAGTACATCAAGTTAAACAAAATTAAAAAGAGAAACGTCGCCTTGTTAAAAATTTTTAATGCACATTTTATTTGAAGTAACAAATGTTTTTTAATGGTTTTAATTTTAGTTTCTCTAGTTTACTCACTAAATGTTATTCAGTATATAGTGCACACTGACTCAGTATGCAACATGAACGGTGTCAAAGACTAGAGTTAATAATAAAAGCCTGGACATCTCAAGGACGTCACTGGATTCTCTCACATACTGAGTCATTACGAGAGATTCGCTCCGTGCTGGAGTGAGTGAATCAGTGTGGTTCAGAGCAGAGGATCTCCATCTGTGAAACACACGTGAACAAGTGAAAACAGACATGCATCAGAGCGAGAGAGAGTCTCTGCAGCGGTGCATCACTCTCCGCTCTCTCGAACACACGAGCACTAAAACCTTCATCAGCCTCAGGGGACGGAGAAGAGAGACAGAGACGCTCTGCTACATTCATCACTGATGCCCTGCAGCTCTACGACCATGCCATACTACTGCATACTACTCACGCTAGCACTCCT